TTCTATTAGAGCTTTCGACAGAAAGAAAAATATGCTCTCCTATCCCAAATTAGATCATCAAGAAATGTATGTATTAGACAAAGGGTACAAGCACTTCTATGAGACCCACCATACTACAGACCATAAGGTAAATCTAGTTTGTCTCATTGATTCTATTTTAACCTCCTTATTCAGACTCTTTGTGATCCTTGCAACTATACAACTATGGATGATTGCCGGTATTCTCAAGAATTGAAACAATTCACCTTCCATAAGAAAGGAACTGCCGGAGCTACTAGTCGAAAAGAATTCAGTAACGTTCGATCACGTTTCCGTCTTCAACAACAATCGGATGATGCAACCGTTAGTCGGACATCGCAACGGAAATTATTCCAACAGTTAGAAAATGTTTGTGAAAATACATCCCCTGTCAGTGTAAAGCTGCCTCCTATTCCTAATCCTCAATTTACTTAACAATTTCATTTTAATCGAAAAAAAAAAGAAAAAAGAAAAAAAGTTACGATGAAGCTTCAGTTGCCAAAAGCCAGAATGATCTCTACTTAACTTGAGATCAACATCTTATCCTTGTGAATTCCTCTTTAATTATATTTACAATACGACTGGTCAATTGATTATCTTTCATTTCTTCTTATATATTACTTATTTATACATCTTTTCAGTTCTTTCTCTATTCTAATCACTTCACCACTCTTTCAGATCATTTTCGAAATGTATATATGAGTATATTCTTTCACAGAAGTTTTTTTTTAAAGCTTCAAAAGTCTTATTGTTTGTGACATTTTTTATGTCTTTCTTTTCAATAAAATAATTATTAAACATTCTTCCTTCTCATCAACCATAGAGACACACACACACACACATACATATAGCAAGAACGAAACAAAAACATCTCCACACTCACTCATTTGTGAGAGAAACAAAGTTCATCTAATGTCAAAAACCTTTATTTGTTTGTTAAAAGTTGACAGATTGAGCAAACTCTCAATAGAAGGTAATGGAATCTGTGTAGACAAAAGGAAAGAATTCATTTTCCATTTTCTTCAACACAACACCGATTGTCATCAGTATTAATATGGTCTTACTATAGACTACGTAATCTCTTACTTTTCATCAATAATTTTATTACACACATCTGTAGATGTTTTATCTTTTGAGCCATATCTATCCGCATATTCATTTGTTGTACAAGATTTGCGAGAAAAGAACAACCCTCCATCTTCCTTTCCTTCCATCTTCCTTTCCCTCTCTCTATCTTACTCTCTTTATCTAAATCTCTCTCTCTCTCTCTCTCTCTCTCTCTCTCTCT